CTATTCATTATGTATCGAAATCACAACCATGTCGTCATCAAATGATCACTCAATATAGAAAAATAAACATATTTTAACATGTTCTATACAATTTATTTGCCTAATAAAAGCATGTTAAATGCTAAAATCATGAAATTGCTTTTATATAGAATAAGGTTAAATAATAACTAATGACTTTATTTATATTCTGATGATGAAAACTATCAAAACAATATTAATAAATCATCCTTTAAGCCCCGATAATGGTAAGTTAAAACGGATGATCGAGTAATAAATAATATAATCTCATTAATATTTCAGTAATACAACAATAACAACTCACGCATTAATATTTCATTATTAATCAACTTTCCAGGTTTGATTGCTTGAGAATAGGATTTCCGAACAAAAAAGAATTAATTGTTTTTTTTATTAAGATGTTCTTTTACGTAACCGGTATATGACTTTGACATTGGACAGTTAACCATTTACAATGTCAGTGTTGTGCAAATATATTAAAGGTTTTTCTATAATTGTGTGTGAATTGTAAATAATCGTCTACAAAGTAACACGCAATAATCTGCAGTTTATTTCTTTTAGTAAAGATACTTTCGAAATTAATCAGTAAAAACTTTAGACCATACCCCACAGCACATTGTTTTGTGGATGGAGAATGTACTAGAAATTTACTAAAACAAACAAAGTAAGTACTTACTAAGTCTGACGGGCAGACCTCGCTTTTCTCTGAAACATAATGAGTGTGTGTATACGAAGCTGTGTGTATGTATTGTATTTGCTTGAATATAAATTCGTAATTTTGTTACAAAAGAGATAGATGTAACATATTTAGCGACTTAGCAGTAAATATTATCGCATCTCTAAATTATAATAATGTCGATATTTTTAGTGAATGCACTCTTTATATATGTATAGGTATATAGATATAAATATTTCCAAGAGAAAGCTTTTCATCCTACTTTGGAACGTCCCAAGAGTACGATTGTCTGGAAAAATAGACGCAAGTAATTTATTCCAGACTAAATCGACTCGAACCCAAGTCGGACAGTTCAGACTTTTAATTTAGTATGTTTTTGTTTCGGTAGTAAAAAGATGGAATCTCTATCTGTGTTTAGTAGTCAAATGAAGAAATACTAGAAGGAACTATTCAATTTTATTGAAAGAATACAACAAGCTGTTTTCGCACAATCGCCAAAGTGAATACTATAAAAAAGTAGTTCAGTATGCATCTTTATGAAGACGATACTTAGCATTAAGAAGTCCTCTATTGGTGAGAACATTCATCATCATATAACTACATCAACAGCCTTTAATAGTACACTGCTCTACATAGGCCTCTCCTTAGAAAGGAGGTTTTGGCCTACTATACCACACTGACCAGACGGGTTGGTATAGGGTTTGTGTCAAGTATTCCTTTTCTTTGCAGTGCTGTGTAGTTTGCCCCCTTAGTCGCCTAAAAACGACACGACGACACCCATAAAATAAAGAAAGAAAGAAATAAATAAAAACAGAAAATTAAAAAAAAGGAAGAAAGAAACATTTATTTGCACGGAATATAGGTAATAACGGATGAATTGGGGTGGCGACAATCTGGATTCATCTTTGTAATCCGTCATCACACAGATCTGTTAACTTAACGTACATAAAAACATCAAAAAATATATTCATATAGGCATCGGATAAGGATCTTTGCCTGAAATGCCTGACGTTTCGACTAGGTTAAGCTGGCCGTGGTCACAAGCTGACTGATCAGTCAGCCTGTGACCAAACCAGACCAGGTATGTGCTTAATACCTATAGTGAGCGTGTTAATTACCGCAGAAATAATTAGATACCCGAAAAGTGCCGAGTCCAACAGTGTTAAGTGCTGAAGCGACCTACGCTCCGACGGAAACCGACGCGGCAGTCCACTTCATCGCGAGATAAATTATGCTCATAAGCGTATAGATATGTATGTTTTTGCACGTATCATCATCAACATCATCAACAGCCTTTCATAGTCCACTGCTGGACATAGGCTTCTTCTTAGAAAGAGTTTTTAACCTACTATACCTATTTATAGGGTTTGTTTTCTAGTTTTCTCTTTGCAGTGCTTTTGTTCGTAGTTTACTCCCTTAGTCGGTTCTTACGACACCCACGTCATGAATACTCCGTATTCTGAATCCGTCACCACACGGAAAGTATGCTTAAGTATAATTGCCTGTGTGCAGTATTTAGGTAATATGTTACGTTAATAGTTTTAAGAAATAAAATAAATTTAGGAACAGTGTTGTTATAACTTTATATAAGGGTTTTATGATAACAGCGAGTTTGTTATGTTCCTTTGTTAAAAAACTCGTTAATTTATTTGGGCTCGGCAGCTGCGTAAATATTGTACACTTACCTACTATTTTATAACAGAGGAGAAGAGTTAAATCAAAAATTTACATTCAACGGTTTGGCATATAAAATTGTGCATTATAATAACAATCGTAAATATCTTTATTGCATTCTCTATCGCATACATCATGGAGAGTGCTCCGAGGAATTGTTCAGACTAATACCACCCGCAAGTTTCCGCCACTTTCATTATTCATCACCTGAATAGTTGACGCTCCACTACTTGCTGCAGACGTAATAACATAAAAATAAATTGCACAACAAATATAATGAAAGCAGAAGTAAAAACGTAGCATACCTACTGCGGCTATTGCTATTAGTGGCCTTATCGCACTGTGACATTCTTTTACAGGAAACCATGGGATGGAGAGTACTATTGGTAAAATATATATGGATAGTTTGATGCGCGTTCAGTACTTTTTTTATGAAATCTTATTCTATAAATCTTATCTTATATATTAATGAAATCTATATAATAGGTAGAATGTAAGACTGTACATATATAAAATTTAGTAAGAAATACATAAAATGAATATAGATCAAGAAATACATACAATATATACACTACAAAAGAAGAGGTTTCATTACCGTCAAGTAGTTGCCTTTTCATTTAGGGGTCCACAACCTTCGATTTCGTCATGCCGTCACATGTTACGGACAAGTTCAACTGCCAAAAGACAAAATAGTCTATACGTATATTATAAATGTGAAAGTGAGTTTGTGTGTTTGTTTGTTACGCTTTCACGCCTAAACTACTAAACCCATTTTAAAAATTCTTTCACCAATGGAAAGGTACATCATCGGCGAGCAACATAGGTCGATAACCAACATACCCGCGGGCGGAGTCGCGGGCAAAAGCTAGTAAGATATAAAAGGTTTACGATACTGTAACTAAGAGTATTAGTTTATGAAAACCTCTAATCCTATCTTCGATTAGTACTCGTTTGCTGCCAGAGTTTGTAGCAGTGATTTATTGGCACTGGTAGATAACATTTTGAAAAATGAAAATATCTTGTTTTCCTGCAGACAAATTGATAAATGTTTTTAGTGGCTACTGCTTAAAATACAGCGGTGTAGATCATTGTGTCACAACTTGATGGCTGTTTTTAAAACTTGTACTGTAGTGCTGTAGGAAGAGCGACTAACTGAGGACTAGTGGTGATTGTACTTTGACAGTTAATGCTTAAGTTCTTTTTGGAAGATTATCCTTATTTGGACCTTAAACTATTTTACTCCTTATCAATCTAAAGGTTGCGGTATTGAACCCTAAATACTTATTTAATTTTGTTATGAAAGAGATGGATGACATCTTTTTTGGGACTTAAAAATTTAAAATTTGAAAATTAAAATTTATAAAATTTATATTTTACTGATTATCCTGTTATTCGTTTAGCTATATACAAATGTGATATTAGAACGCACTTCGTCTCGATTACCAGTAGCCGAAGAACCAGGTGTACCCTAGAAAAGAAATCCCTGGTACCAAGGCGGACCCCGGGCCATCTACGCTTTGTAGATGACTCCCAAGCTCGTTTGCTCCCCTACCCCATAAAAGCAGAACAATTAATAAATACAACAAAATGTTTAGGCTTCATGAAAGAAAAATTAAAACAGTCAAATTTCATTGCTGGCCTAATCTTATAATTAAAAAAAGACTTGCCATAAATTATACGAGCAGCCCATGTATTACAATACGTGTTTATCGTACGTACGACTACAGTCTGCCGCAGTAAGGAGTAAGGTACTGCCGCATTGACCCATTTTGATAAAGTCGTGAATAGATTACACTACGTCCACTTTAATGCTCAGGTGCTGCATGCATCGTATTCCATATTTAATTTTGTTAGTAATTTAATGTCCTCTGAATCTATAGACATCTCTACGATTTTTATTTTTAATATAAATGGGTATGAAAAATTTACACACAATCTGAAAAAAATCTCAGAAACAAGCAAATTATCACTTAATAGATTACTATGACAGAATCTATAATTCAAAGACATATAAACCGATTTTTCTATAAAATTAACTATGTAAGTGAAAACTTTGTATGGTCACCAGTAAGCCTCGCGTGCACACTGTCATAAACTCACGCACACAAAGAAAAAAGTTTAGCTTATAAGTTTATAATCAAGCGGGGTTTTTATCTTGTAGTCGTTGGCCGTACGCCGCGCAGCGCGCATGTCACCGTCAGCGCTGAAGCCTCATATACATACGCGCGTGAAAATACAACCACCCGCACATGAAAAATTAAGAAAATTAAAATGCACTTTAAATAATTTAAAAAAGCCGGTCTGTCAAGAGCGTTTGACAAGTGCTCCATTTCTAAATTGCCGGGCGTCGGGCTTATTCGGAAAATTATGAAAGTGATGTGAAACATAAGTGTTTCTCTTCAGAATACGTTCAGCGCTTACTCTGTATTTTTTCTAGTGACTACAAAAGCTATTGTTTGAGTTTTGTTTGAATTGACGTACAAAAAGTATACTTTTGAGTGTTTTTTTTTGTATTGAATGAGAAGTGTGTCGAAATATTACATAAAAGTGGATTGTTCAGTTTTAGTAAAGGAAAAGCGGCAGAGTAATTCAGTTAGATGTGTGTTCAACATAATATACAACGGGACACAACATGACGGCAAAGTTCGGCTATGTAAGTAGAATTTGTTAATTATTTTCGTGAGTTTTTAGTTGCAACGAACGATTGACTAAATAATTTGAATTATGCTGATAACGTGTTGTGTATATAATATTTATACAACCATTGGATAATCACTTCAGTCGAATGATATATGATTGTCTGAATTAAGTTAATGCGGTTTATTTTTGTGACGTGAAAACTGCGAGCTATTTTTATGAATGAAATTTTATTTTTACTTGATATCGTTCTTGATAGGTACATTTTACAGATAATGTAGATCTTAATTGTATAATAACATTGACAACACCGCATTCTTTGATACGATTACTGTGATTCGATAAACGTGATATTAGATAAATAACATAGTGATAGATAAAGCAATAGATAATAGAATATTGGTATGGACTAATATTTTTGGATCTTATAAAATGTAATTTTTAGTACGAATATTAAGATAAGAGTCAATGAATTTCTCAGCTGCTGGCAGTCTAACCTATAAAATTATTTTCCGTTCGATAGCCTACTTTATTTTATTAAGAAGGTCACATGCTATCGAACATCATGATGATGCAGAGACCATGACATCTAATGGTGAGAAGGAAGAAAAGTTTTTTTTTTTAAATCTGCACCCAGTTCTTACGTATTTTCCATATATATATTTTTTTTTAATGTCTCTTTGACATTATGTATTTGTTATATAATACTATAGCTATAAAAACTAGCACTAGGACAATTATTACTTATTTATAATGTAAATAATACACGCATAAATACTGTGAATACAAATATTGTTGAAATTGAATGTGTAGTTTTTTTTATATTTTTGGTAAGAGCCCAATGTATTGAAACCTTTTCTAAAATCTCTAACCCGATAATGTTCAGTATTATTTAGTTTTTTTTTTTAAATATTAGTAGGTATATTCTTTTCTTATTTAATAACTGTAGGGGAAAGTTAAGTGTTGATAAGAGTAAAATCATTGCACTATTTATATTATTAATTACATGAGTATTTAAAACGTTATAAAACTTAAACACGATTTCATACAACATGGCTCTCCCAGCAACGTGGTCAAAAGTCTAGAAGTTTTTACCGGTGCCTAGTTGTAAACTATTACTAATGCTGTTTATTAATTTTTTTTTACGGCCCAATGGGGAAATCAAATTGGGCCCTAGCACCCGCCCTAGTGACTAGTGACTAGCGACTAGTGTCCCGAAGATACTTGTGCTAACCTAACCCTAAGTAATTAATTTTAACTAAAGTAATTATTTTTGTAACACTTCTTAGTTTGTTATCGTTAAGCAGGCTCAGGTTAACTAAAAACAAGAGGCTTGGAGATTGTGTAACTAAACTAGCTTAAATGTATAACATTGTTAGTTACACATAAAAAAGAATGCGTTTACTACAATGACCTACTAAGAGTCAGTTACATTATATATATATATACATGTTATACATATTCTTAACATATACGTATTCGAATTTTATAGTAAAGATGATTTTTAAACCTCGGTTCATCCAATGATGGTGTTATACTAGCGGCTAGTTGATGTAAATTTAATTTTGTTAGCTATTACTTACATAAATATTACTTACACATTGAAATTGTGTATTAGTAAACCTATAAGTAAAAATTAGCATCAGTAATTTGCACACACTGGATGCTTTTGACGTATTGGCTAAAATTAATCATTAAATATATATGGCTCTTAAAGATTATAATTTGTTCCAAACAAACGTTTATATCAAACATGGTACTTAACATTATCGATTAGAATTAACGTTATTAATTTAACGCCTAATTGTGTTGTGTTCGGTGTTGAACAGACGTTGGTATGTGCAGCACATTTAAATGGAATTAAATAAGTAATATATAAGTCTATTACATAAATGTATGACTGAATTCATTTATAGTAAGACAACGATTATTCACGCGTTTAAAGTTACTAGCAACTTAATATTTTATTACAATTGTTTTATTCAAAACCATGATTCACGTTTATACAGTTCCATTAATAAACAATATTTGCTGTGTTCTATAACTGTTACAATTTAATATTCGTCTCAATATTTTCAGTTCAAATAAAAACTTCGACTAATGAAATAGAATGTGAGCGCGTTCATTAATTTTAATTTTAAAAGTTTTAATTTCAAACGTTAACGCTATTAAAACGTTCAATTAAAACATCCGATTAAGTATTATTTACACTGTTGTGTCATAATTTTATTATCAGAACGTGATTAAACATACGAGTATATCACATGTGTTCGTTCCAACGAATTAATCTGCCACAACGATTTTTTTTCTTTTATCGTTGATTTTTAAATAAAACGTAATCATACTTTAAAGGATAGCTTACCTTAAAATATATAAAGAAGTACCTATTAAAAAATAAGGTGAACTAAGGAATACTTATAATAATAATATTAACATTTTTATTATTCGTGCTTGATAAAAAATCATAATTAAAAGCTTGGTTTTCATTTGTTATTTTATAGAATACTAGCTGTATCCCGCCACGCTTCGCTGATTGATGAGAATTGAGTAACCATACTGACACGAAAAAAAAACAATTCCTGAAGCGGCTTGTACAGCGTATTAAAGTTTGAACTCAATCGGTGCAGAACTTTTTGAGGTTTTGAAGTGTACACAAAACAACTTAAATTCTTTATATGGTTATATAAATTATATATGTATGGATGATAACGTCTCTATTGCCACAAATATCCTCAGATGAGATCAGATCAGATCCTCAGTATGGCGGTTACGGTGCATAAACTCCAGGGTCCTACCCTTTTTTTTTTTTTTTTCCGTGCGGAAATCCCCTCGGATACCACCTGTCGGTGGCATATCGGACTCGAACCGACTAAAACCGCACGCCGTCTCGGGTACTAATAGCCAGGGATAGCCGGGGTATGAGAGGGTCCCGTGACGCCTCTCGAGCCAATCCTCTATAACGGGTCTTACCGCCGCGATGACGGCGTGCCCGCCAGGGTCCTACCCTAAAATTCCCAAAGCCAATGTTTATGTTGCACTAAGTCGCGTAATTATGGCTTTGCTCTTTCAGACTTAGAGATACACAAAGCCAAAAAAGGAACGATCAAGACTAATTGTAAATATTTTAATTAGAACACTAAGACCAGCTAGGTATGTAGGGCAGGCTGCTAATCCAATCCTCAGGTTTGCATGTCTTATCTTTCTTGTACATTAAAAGTTACTATGACGATATCTTAAAGTATCATCTAACTCCTAACCGTTAAGGAGTTTTACCTTTCATCATCAGCTCACCTGAATGATATGAAAGAATACAACTAAAAGTCCAAACATAGATATTGTATTTAAAGAACTATCCTCCAACTCCTAACCATTTAGGAGTTGTACCTTCCATCACCAGCTCATCAACACGAGATAATGACTACCAGACGCAAATACTAGAATAGCTTTAATAAATATATTTAACACATAATACGTGCCTAGAAAATTTGAGGGTTGCCAATGATTTCCCTATGATCCAATCATTAGAACCTGGCTTCGTGCTAATGAGACTACTTCAAGACTATGCTCTTTCTAATAAAAAAAGAATTTTGTTGAAAATCTGTCCACAATTGACGGTATCGTATCGCAATTGAGTAATCGGTGAACATACAAAAAAATACATACAGTGGAAAATAGAGCCTCCTTCTTTTTGAAGTCGGTTAAAAGTCTCTTAAGGATAACCCACAGTAACCATTTTTATCTTTTATCATAAAGATGTCCTATACTATAGTCCTATCATAATAATAACATAATTAATTACTCCACACTGATACCACATTAGTAGTATTAGTAGCATCTACATTGCACACGTGCGAAGCCGGGGCGGATCGCTAGTAATTACAGCTCCGTTCCTGCCGGCCGTTGCTATCCTGGACGGACGTACGGCCCGATGGCGAACACGGACACGGCCACTTTGCTCCGCATATTCTTCTAAAATATTCTTTTTTGTGATATTCTGTAAAGAGCAATTTTAATCTACATTAGCCGCACAACGTATTTAATTTGATAAGGACTAATAACGTATTATTTAAAATAACTTCGTAAATAAGCCAATTTTTTTTGTAAAATTTAAAAGATAAAAACGGTTACTGTGGTTTATCCTTAGGAGATAGACATATAACATTTGGAACTTTTTGTAGATCTTTTTAAGATATGAAATGCTTTAGTAAAATATTTTGGTCTATCTCGTAAGGTTTAGCCAGCTGTTGCAATGTAAGCGCACAAAAACGTGTTTTTGTCACAAATCTTTGAAATCTGTACTATCTCTCTGTATATCTCTATAAATATACATTTATTATACATATAAACCTTCCTCTTGGATCATTCTCTTTATTGGTGAAAACCTCATAAAAATCCGTTGGTTAGCTTAAAAGATCTAATAAGCAAGTGCGTACTATAGCAAAAAAGTGTCGGAAAAAAGTCTTGTTACACCTTATTCAGTCTAGACTCCATCCGCTCGTTTTGATGTGGTGTATTTGCGTCATATTAACAACTGAGAGTGACAAAACTACTGCTACGATTGTGAGGCAGAGACAGATTTATGAAAACAAAAAAAACTAGTTTAGGACACGCTTAGTAATTTAATATCGGGATAAGCCAAAGGTGATAGGATTTTTATCAATAACATATGCAGACGTGTCCTGCCATATAATACACGTACTTTCATCAATAATCTTAGATGTAGTTACTTCGATACATAATTTATTCAAGTGAATAATAAAATTTATAAATTATTGTTTATTAATATTACAGTAATAGACATTTGATTCTCTGATCGCTTTGAATACAGATACATTAATTGAAACATTTAGTACCTACATTTAAATTGTTATAGCTCATAATCTTTGTACTTAAATTGAATATAAACTATATTTTATAGCAGTACTGACCTTCGCTCGCATATACACATTTTAATATCTTTTTATACAAATAAAATATATAAATAAACCACCTTAAATTATTTTTGAGATAAAGTAG